TTTGAGAGGGATTTGGAGCAATTTTTTTGATAGATTAATAAGTTTAAATATGTTCTTAGTCCAAATATACAGTAGAATCTGTACGATCAGCTACTCCTATTCAGCAACATCTCCTTGTAAGTGGTCATGATATTGATTAAATAAACTATAAGTACTGACAAAGCTGTCACGATCGGCTAGTTTTTTGGACATTTGCTGTTGTTGATAAAATAAAATTAACTCAAAGATTTTCTTTACAAAAATAGATAAATATTACGAATACATCACACCGGCAATACTATATACCGGAAAACAACCGGAAAACAATGGAAAACAACCGGAAAACAACCGAAAAACAACAGAAAACAACCGGAAAACACCATTTTATACTGAATAACGGAAAACACTGGAAAAACACTAAATACCGGAAAACACACTAAATACCAGAACATACCCTAAATAGGTAACCTGGAGACTGGCACCCTAAATAGGTAACCGGGAGCCTGGTCCTCTGTGTGCCTGGGTTAGGTTTAAGAATTTGGGGGGAGAGGTAAAGTCTCCACATAAGCACTGACCTAGGATGATGAAAAGTTAGTTCCCCATATTTCCTAGTCTTAGTAAAAATACATACAATATATTAGATTAATTTACAAAAGTGATTTCACTGTTTTTGGTGTTGGTGGCGCTGATGGTCTTTCTTGGATGGTACTTCTGGTATTCTGGTATTTTTGTTTCTGAAGAAGAAAAAAGAATAAATTTGAGGCTCTCGGAGGAGAGCCACATTAGTGTGTTTCCTACTACGAATTGAATTTTTTCTAAAAAAAACGTGTTTGTTCCACATCACCGGGTTAGGGCTAGGGATTCTTATATCTAGTTGATTTTATTTACTAACGGTTAGGAATAGGATTTGATATATGGTTTGTTTTGGGTTAGGGTGGAGACTGGTCCTATTTAATCTAATTTACTGTGCACTAGGATATCGTTAAGATTTTTATTTTTAGAATATGCAATTATAACTGTTTTTGGTGTTGGTTACCTATTTAGGGTATTTTCCGGTAGTTAGTGTGTTTTCCGGTATTTAGTGTTTTTCCAGTGTTTTTCGGTATTCAGTATGACATGGTGTTTTCCGGTGTTTTCCGGTTTTTTTCTGGTGTTTTTCGGTGTTTTCTGGTATATAGTATTGGTACAAAATCACACATTTACATCAGAGATTTGAGTCAAAGAATTTTCACTAAAAGAAAGTTTCAGCGACGGCCAAATTTTACCGATGCAAGTATTGATGTTTTCTCCCAATACATCCAAGCCTAATATTTACTTGACATCAGCGCTACAAACACTGAGATTTTATTAAGAGGTCACTTTCGTTAAAGGGACAATAACACTCTTGCTGGCTTGAAAGCTCCAGAAAATAAATAATATCTCTATCTAAGTACTAGATGTTTAAGTGTCCTACCTGTTGTGTAAATTATCCATTACATCCTATTTTACTTTTCCAGAGGGTTCGAAAATATTTTTAAATCGAAGTTTTATTTGAAAAGGTTTACGTTAGACGTTTCAAAACAATATGTTGAATTTTTCAAAAATTTTAAATAAGGTGTGTTAAGATGAAATTTGTATCATCAATTAATTGAAATATACTAAAATAGTACAATTTGTTGACCAGAATAAAGATTGGGACATATTATTCAGTTAAAACAAGAGTGGTATTGAGCCTTTAAGCGGTCAGTCATTCAAATTCCTGTGAATGGCTGCGTAATACAGATTCTACTGTATCATCAAATTACCTAGTTTGTACATGGGAAGGCATCTTCAATGACCGCTCTAAAAACTGACGATGTAAAAGTACATGGACTTGATTTCAGCTGATGAGTTTTTAATGCACCATTTCTTAAACTTACGTTTCATTGTTGAGTTTTTTTAGACATCATCTCTTGAGAATGTAAAACTACATGAGCTAGACTGATGTTTTTCTAAACACCATCTCGTAATGGCCAGTCTGAACTTGACAATGTAAAACTACATGGGCTAGATTGATGTTTTTTTAAACACCATCTCGTAATGGCCAGTCTGAACTTGATAATGTAAAAGTACATGAGCTTCACTGACATGTTTTTTACACCCTATTTCGTAAACTTGATGAGAAACAACTCATTGATGTTTTTTTAGACATCATATCATGTAAGTCTGATTTCTCGGGCTTCTTTAATCGTTGGTATAGTATATTATATGGAGGCATACCACCATTAAATTTCATTAAATTGTATTTCGTCTATTTATAGCAATTCTCTCTCTCTCTCTTTTCTCCCCTTTTGCATGCACATTTTTGTTGAATTTTGGGTCTAGAATGGATGAAGAGGGTTTGAATTAACATTTTCTGCCAGGTTTTGGTAAATATTCATGATTTGGAGGCGGAAGGCTAACAGGTTATCAGGTTGGCTACTGCGATATGTACGACAACTAGTTACATGTTTTTTAGTATGCCTGTTCAAGTTTGTGTATCTCAAAATTTTGGTGGTCAACCTCGTACAAATTTTAGTGCAAAGACATGAACATTTGTTCCTCTGTCTGTAGTAACAAGCGGTTGCCATGCAAGATACGCCCACATTTTGCAAGAGATGGACAGAGAACAAGCTCACAAACAATTGTGGACGGACGAACAGACGGGGGCGACAACAATATACGTCCACATGAAAATGTGGCCGTATAAAAAGCATTCAGCCCAACGAAAATTTGGGGAAAAGTTGGAGGTGGGCAAAGAGGCCAGAATTAATATTAAAGTCAATGCGGAAATTAATTATAAGTACAAATAACAAGAGAAAGAGAGACACAAACTAAGTTATTTCGGGACTAATATATGGTTTAATTTTATTTCAATAATTTGAATAATAGGGGGTCTTTAGCAGTGGAAAGAAACCGGAGGACCGGGAGAAAATCCACTAGGTTGAACAGGCGACCCTACTCCTTGTCACATATAACCGGGGAATCAAAACCACGATAGTTGACTCAATGACAGACATTATGATACAACATACACGCACTAACCATTCAGCCATCCAACACCCCAAGTAACAAAAGAGCAATAGAAACATATGTTTAAAAGTCACCGGAAAAGCTTAATTTTTTTTTAAATAAAGAAAGTAATTATGTCAACATATCCTTTCCGTAAGTGTAACAGGAACCCGAATGTCAATATTCCCTGCAACAGGTAAATTTTAACGTTAGTAATTTCCGCCGTTCTCTGTGTGTAATCGTAACTTTCCGTCAATAAACAATCCGTGAAGTCAATTTAGTCCTTCTGCTCATATTCTAGTCTATATTTCTTTGAGCAGAAGGACTAAAATGACGTCACAGTTTGTTTATTGGCGGAAATTTACGACTATTATATATTATATATTATGAAGCTTTTCCGGTGACCTTTAAACTAGATAAACAAGAAATGAAATGAAATGGAGTTTAACGTCCTACTGTTCTGCTCCTAACCTGGGCTAATGAAGACGGGCATACGCCATACAGTGTGCTATGAGGGAAATTTTGCCCGGACAGCGGGACTACGGCCTACTCTTATATCGAATTCCAACTGCCACGGGATCTTTTACGTGCACGCCAATCTGTACACGGGACCTCAGTTTTTCGTCCCATCCAAACGACTAGACAGCTTTCCTTGTCAGCCCCTCCGTCCTGAATCACTGACAAGGGAGAACCACGCCGGAAAATCTGGATGAACTTTCTCGGCCAATGCAGGGATCGAACAGCTGACCTCCAGGCTAGCGAGCCAGCGTCTTACCCATTTAGCCACGTGATCCCCAGATAAACAAGAAGTAATTATAAATTGGGGGTTAAGGATTCAATTGGAGGGATTTAAACATATACCTAGACACAAATATCAAGTGCTGTAGAAGTGGGCTCGGGGCCGTAATTAGCTCAGAGCAACAAGGGGGGCGGGAAGTGTTCTCGGGGTGCTGTAAAATTGACAGACAATGTATATCTATGGTTGACAATTTTTTCAAAGGGGGGGGGACCCTTCCTTGTTACAGTTTTGAGTGGGCTTGCTAGTCCAGTCCACGGCATGTGAAGATTTTTTATATCTTCAAAAGCATGAGGTTCTTTGGGCAATTGTTTGATAGTTCTATCTAATAAGCTCATATCTTTATTAATGTAATCAAATTATATTTTAATTACTGTCAGAACCCATGCTTCATTCGTCATTTAATAAATAACATTTTACACCAATCATCTTGAGTTTATTTATGAGGTTCTTTGGGCAATTGTATGATAGTTTTAATAAACACATATATCTTTATTACTGTAATCTAATTATGTTTTAATTACCCTCAGAACTCAGGCTTCATTCGTCATTTAATAAATAACATTTCACACCAATCAACCCATTGTTTGATAGTTCCATAAACTCATATCTTTAAAGCAAGAATTTCAAATTTCTAAGAAAGTCAAAGCATAATTATTTCTGTCTTTTGCTCAATAGGTTATCAAATCACTATTATACGATCATGGGCATTATTTCCCACCCTTAAAAATCTATGACACTGGAAATAACAACACAATTACCTCCCCTGTTTTGCTATTGACCACATGGGGCAGCCTTTTTCCAACGTTGGAATTTGAAGTTAAAAATGATATTTTTGCCAATTTCTCAGCTGGCAATAGCGAATTATAGGATTAATAGAATTATTCTTTAACAAGGTAGGACTGTTTATGGATACCATCTATTTTAAGGCTTTATTTTAATAAATTTTAAAAATATAACTTGAAAATTTGCAATTGCAACTTTAATGGAATCTAATTATGTTTTAATTACTGTCTGAACCCATGCTTCACACCAAGCATCTTGTGTTTGTTAAGCTGTTTCGGGGTTGTGTTCTCCAAGACAGAGAGCACAAATAATGATGGCATTGATGGGACACCAAAGAGAATGTGCTAGACAATATCCGTGATATTTGCTTGAATTCCAGACTTGTACTGAGGAGATGACAAAAGAAGTAATAAATTACTGTCAACATTACCTCTGGTTCTTTTAACAGTTTCTTTATTCTTTATATAGCCAGTAAATTTCTTTATTCTGTGTCAGTAAGTCGCTTTATACCAAATCTGTGAGGAATATAAGATATTTGGAATACTGTATTATAATAATCTTTGAACATAAAATAACACATTACAACTGATAACAACCCAGTGAAATCTTGTTGAGAGAGAGAGAGAGAGAGAGAGAGAGAGAGAGAGAGAGAGAGAGAGAAGAGAGAGAGAGAGAGAGATGGGGTTTAACCTCCACTCAACACAAACTAGGTTATTTCGGAACTTACAAATGGTTTAATTTCATTTCACTAATTCGCTTGGGCGTAGGTGTCTTTAGCTGTGGGAGGAAACTGGTGGACCATGCATCGTGGTCTTTAGCAGTGGGAGGAAACCAGATGATCCAGCGAAAAACCCATGAGGTTGGACAGGCAACCCAACTGCCTACTCCTTGTCACGTACAAGCGGGCAATCAAAACCTTGCCACTTGACTCAATGACAGACCTTGTGGTTTCACAACCACACGTTAAACCTCTAGACCACCCAACCACCCTGTTATCAAAAGAACTGTGTTGCATTATAAATTACTATAAATTTGGGAGTTGGTTTAATACCAAGGCTTTGGATTTTGCCACACTGACACATCCTTACTTAAACTTACATTATGCAAGAGCTAAATCTGTCTATTGTGGGTCTTTTCTTAGGCCTGAAATGTTATCTAAATGATTAATTAGACATTAATTAACATGACAAGACCATAATCACTGTCGATGCCACTGGATATCTCTGATATTAGAATAGTGCAGCCATATTTTGATTTAATTTAAAAATGGAGAAACAAGAATTAGATTCAAACAACCAGTATGGGAGTAACAATTGAAGCACACATCTTGTCAAACCTTCAATATCATTGCTCAGAGGAGAGCAATTTCAATGATATTTTCAATATATTCATTTCGCATTATCTATTTTTGGCTAGCTCTTTATCTAAATCCTACATAATCTATCTTTGTTGTCGGATTGTCGCGTTATGAAAGGCGACATCACGACATTACGACATGATACCAATCAGCCACCATATTTAAAACTGACTGACTACAGAACTAATCTGCCAATTTACACAACCTAGGTAATTTCGGGACTATCATATTATGTTTCAATTTTATTTCAATGACTGGGTCATAACTAGCTCAGAGCAACGAGGGGGGAGGGAAGTGTTCTCAGGGGTGCTGTAAAATTGACGGAGAATGTATATCTATTTTTTTTAATGGTTGACAATTTTTTCATAGGGAGGGGCGAAACAGACCTGCAGGAGGATCCAGTGATAATCAACCAGGTGATTTATGGAGAAGGTCATCAAGTGAAATGAAATGAAATGGAGTTTAACGTCCTACTGTTCTGCTTCTAAACTGGGCTAATGAAGACGGGCATGCGCCATACAGTGTGCTATGAGGAAAATTTTGCCCAACTGCCAAGGGATCTTTTCCGTGCACGCCAATGTGTACACCGGACCTCGGTTTTTCGTACCATCCGAACGACTAGACAGCTGTACTTGTCAGGCCCTCTTGTCCTGCATCACTGACAAGGGGAAACCACGCCGGAAAATCTGGATGAACTTTCTCGGCCAATGCAGTGATCGAACGCCCGACCTCCAGGCTAACGAGCCAGTGTCTTACCCACTTAGTCTCTAAATAACTAGTAATGTGGCGAGGGCCTTAGACGAAATTTTTACCAATCTGATTAAAATACAGATCTATATTTCGTTTCGTTTTTTATACTTTCGATGGCCTACACTACATGTAGATTTGACTGAGCAGCTTTTGACCTATGGTGTCAGATGATTAACCAATCAGCATTGATGTTACAAGTGAATTACCCACAGTTCCGTACAAAACACACCTAAAGTTCGCCGTAACAGACCGTTTCATTGGCTAATACCTCACACCATCCAGAACACGTCAATGATAACAACTCTTCCAGATCCTAGTGTAGTGAAGACAAGTAAAAGAAATTTTGAACTATAAAAAATGAAACGAAATAGGATCTGTGTTTTAATCAGACGGTATTTTTACCTGAACCCATAAATTAGTTTATATAGGTCTTGGATTAGTTTTGGGCCATACTATATACCGGAAAACATCGGAAAACAACCAGAAAACACCAGAAAACAACCGGAAAACAACGGAAAACAACCGGAAAACACCATTTTATACTGAATACAGGAAAACACCGGAAAAACACTAAATACCGAAAAACATCCTAAATACCGGAAAGCACCCTAAATAGGTAACCCGGAGCCTGGTCCTCTGTGTGCGGTTTTGGACCAAGTGAGCGCCGATGAAGGAAGGTCAAGGTCATTACGATGTTCGTTTTAAAAAAAGCCCCCCCCCCCACCAAAAAAAAAAAAAAAAAAAAATTCCGATTTTTTTTTCTCCAAAATTTTGTTGATGCCTATTATGTTTTGAATGTTTTAAAAGACGCAATCAGTCTACCTCCATCATTGACCATATTTTATTTTGTATTTTAATTTTAGTTTTCAGTAAATTTTAGTAGATTTCAGTGTTTCAGTATTTCAGTAGATTAAACACAGCCCTCTGAGGGCCCCGTTATATGCCGGTTGCGCCGGTCTCCTGATTCTTACTAGTAACGCTGGCATCAGGGTTGTACGAATTAGTGGAAGGCACGATTAGGCCAACTCCTCCCTTGGTAACAAAAAATCGCATCATAAAACAGCAAGTATCATCAAAAGCGAGTTAATAAATCTCTGAATAGTTCGAGTTGAAGTTCCAGGTTTAACCGCTATGTGTCCTAATCACCAAACGAAATGGATGCCACGCAATTCTCGGACAGGCTCTAATCTGAAAAGTGTCTATCCTTTCCAAGAGCTATCCATCTCGTTGGAAGGGCTAAAAATCTACTTGTTTCTGAGCTTACTTTCATTCCAGGGTCAAATATAATCACTTGAACCATAATAATATTCAACATATTCCATCATAATCCGAGGGCTGCACACAGGATTTTTTTTCTAGATTACTTTTCGAGCTTTATTCCCCAACTCGTTGACCAGTTTTCCTTGAGAAAACCCCAACTTTCGCCCAATTGTCCATGAGGAAACTACATATTCTATCTTACTGCATTGACGGGAAGTGGTAAGCTGGACGTCTGTGAAAAGGGTTGATCCATAAATTTTCAAGGAAGCAATTGTTGTTTTTGTTTGTGAAATAGAGGACTCTAGCCGATGAGGCTACTTTCCCCCCGAGAACCTCAGGCAACCAATTTGTTTTATGTACTACTATCGTAATAAAACATTACTATATTAACCACTTCCTGGTGGCTGAAGACTTACACCGAATGTGTAATCCGAAAAAAATGTCCCCGAGAAAATGTTTTTTCCGATAATCGATATTCGAGATGTCTTCTGTTGCACAAATTATGCTACACTGTGTAAGAACTTGCATCCTTTGATCTGAAGATTGTAGATGGAAAAGTATCATTTGCACGATTTCAAAGTAAACCTGCATTTTCGTATATCATCCCGTAATTTGTGATTAATGACAATGACTGTGGAAATAATATGGGTTGAGGAATGGAAGATTTATGTTCGTCACATGACTGGACAATTCCACCCCCCGTCCCACCCTGACGATGATCTCTCCCTGAGCGGCGCGGCGCGGCGCTCTCTAAAAAAAATCTCGGGCACAGTTTACTCTTCTAAGTTTTTCGGTAGCTATTTAGTAATGCGGAGTTTGGTCCTCGTGTGTGGTTTTGGACCAGGTAAGCGCTGATGAAATAAGCTCATTAACATACAAGCGAGCGATCGCCTACGGTCAAAGAAAAATTTCTTTTCAGATTTTTTTTAAGAATTTCTTCTCCCAAATTTCTCTCAAAAAAAAATTCAAATTTTTTTTCCAGTATTTTTCTCTGTAAAATTATTTCCTACGGAATGTTTTTTTTGTAAAACCAATTTTTCTGAAAAATTCAATTTTTATTTTGGGGGGGGGGGGGGATAGAAATTTTTTTTTTGTCAAAAAAATTTGGGAGAAAAAAAAAAATCGGTTTTTTTTTTTGGGGGGGGGGGGCTATTTGTAAAACTAACATGACCTTGACCTTCCTTCATCGGCGCTCACTTGGTCCAAAACCGCACACAGAGGACCAGGCTCCGGGTTACCTATTTAGGGTGTTTTCCGGTATTTAGGATGTTTTCCGGTATTTAGTGTTTTCCGGTTGTTTTCCGTTGTTTTCCGGTATATAGTATTGCCGTTAGTTTTAATTAATGACTACATTTTAGAGTATTATCTTTTACTCTGGTCTATTTCTATGTATAATTTATATGTCTGGAATTTCTAATTACTAATCAAATCACCCGTAATCAATATCTTATGGTATAGCTTTGTCGATGGTTATTGCATTATAAAAAGAAATGAGATTTAATGTCCCTTTGTTCTGTGCTGACTAGACTGATGAAGATGGGCATACACCATACAGTGTGGTATGTGTTAAATTTTGCCCAGGCAGCTGCACTATGGCCTACTCTCTTAAATCAAATTCCAACTGTTACAAGCACATCCATGTAAAAACAGAACCTTGGTTTTTCATACCAACTGACTGACTAGACTCTATCCTTGTAAGATCCTTTGTCCTGGTCCACTGACAATGGCAACGCTGGAAAATCTCAGGGCAACTTTCTCAGCCACCAGTTCAACTACCACTTAACACAAACAAGGTAATTTTGGGACTAACATATGGTTCAATTTGATTTCTATAATCCATTTTTTGGCCCGGACAAAACCCTCAAGATTGGAAAGACAACTCTACTCATGGGAATTGAAACCACACCACTTGACTCAATGACAGGACCTTATGATCTAAAGTGCAGGGGTTGGATATACCACGGTATTGACTGGATTTTCATCTGCCTGCTCAAGCTTCCCTTCCCTGTCTAAAGTTTTTTAAGGACAGTGATTTTTGATATTTGCAAATTAAAAGCAGCTTTTTTTCCCCTCCCCCCTCACCAGCCAAGTATAGAAATCTGACTACCTACAGCAGGTGTGTAACTAACCCACAATGTTGGACAGGTGACCCTACTATTTGTAGCATACAGCTCAGAATTGAAAACCAGGGGTTGTTCCAGGAATTTGTGCAGGAAGGGGTTTGACCGGTACCTGAGGCAATGTACCTTTGTGGGAGGGGGTGGGGGAATTTTTTGAGGAAGGGGTTTGACTGGTACCTGAGGCAATGTACCTTTGTGGGGGGGGGGGCTGCCTGGGGAGTGAAATTTTTGCAGGAATGGGTTTGACCGGGACCTGAGGCAATGTACCTTTGTGGGGGGGCTGTCTGAGGGAGGCCTGCCTAGGAGGGGGGGGAGGGACATCCTCTTGAAAATTGTTGAGAAATACATTGTCAGTATCGTCATTTTGGCATATATACATACACACTGAGCTCTTTAAAGAGAGAAATCCAACACCCCGTTTGACATCAATTTTTATAATGAATTAATACAATGTCATTGTGATTCAATTTCAATAATGCAATGCATTAATTAATTGTGATAACACACATGTCTATATCATTATCTCGTGCTTTGAATGCCCTTCCCATTCCACCATCTGATGATAAAGGATAAAGCACACGACCGACCATGACACTTTTCTCATTATAAGTGTTGTTTTACAAATTTTTATGTAGCTGAGCAGGGGGCGTGGGCTTTGGATCTGCCCCATAAACCACGCCAGTTGACTTAATGACAGACCGTAAGAGAGAGAGAGAGAAATGGGGTTTAACATCCACTCGACACAAACTAGATCATTTTTGGACTAACATATGGTTCAATTTTATTTCAATAATTCGCTTGCGCGTAGGGGTCTTTAGCAGTGGGAGGAAACTGGAGAAAACCCACGTGGTTGGACAGGCGACCCTACTCCTCGTCACGTACAACCGAGGGAATCGAAACCACACCAGTTGATTCAATGACAGACCATATGATTTAGCGCGCACATGCTAACCATTCGGCCATCCACCTCCCAGACCATAAGATCTAAAGCATATTGAGTACAGCTTTTTTTCAGTGAAATATAGAAAACGATGGCTTCCTACATACTTGTGAAATGAGAATGATTAAGGAAATGAAATGAAATGAAATGGGGTTTAACGTCCTACTCTGTTTTGCTCCAAACTGGGGTAATGAAGACGGGCATACGCCATACAGTGTGCTATGAGGGAAATTTTGCCCGGACAGCGGCACTATGGCCTACTCTTATATCGAATTCCAACTGTCAAGGGATCTTTAACGTGCACGCCACTGTGTACAAGGGACCTCAGTTTTTCATCTCATCCGAATGACTAGTCAGCTGTCCTTGTCAGAAGAATGATTAAACTAGACCTGTATAATATATTTGTCTACCTCCTGTGACCAGTGGTAACAAGACTATTAAATTACTAATTCCTATCTATTACAGATTACATGATCTCGATTAATGCGTTAATACTAATATATTCTAGTTTAACAGACAAATGGCCTAGAAACATAACACTGTATTCTATTGGTAAAATATCACGAGGGAAAAACACGGACAGATGTTACTCGCGACATTAACTCTTTAATAATAGGTATTAAACATACATTATGCCTATTGCAGGTCTTTTTTTAGGCCTGAAATGTTTAAACTATCAATTATTTAAACATACATTTATGCAAGAGCTAAATCTGCCTATTGCAGTTCTTTCTTTAGGCCTTAAATGTTATATAAATTATTAATTAGACATTTATTAACTTATCCAGGCCATATCAACTCTTGATGTCATCTTATGTGTCAGTTTTTCACTGGATTTGAATCCGATCTACTGTACAAAGCTCATTGATGATTTAATCCAAAAATGGATAATCAAGTCTGTTTTTTTATTGTACCGACTTTAGTAATGATGATCGTGGCTTGGCCTAAAATTCAATTGCTAGTATCTTGAAAATTCAATTGCTAGTATCTTGGTTCAGAGTGGAGCAATTTGACTGAAATTTTCAGAATATTCCCTTTACATTATCTAGCTTTTACCTATTATAGTGAGAACTGTCAGCTCTTTATGTTTATGTTTATTGAATTTGATATAGCACTCATTATTACATCTTTGATGTATTCAGTGGCGCTTTATATGAACAATATAGAGAGAGAGAGGAGGAAATGGTGTTTAACGTCCACTCGACACAAACTAGGTCATTTCGGGACTAACATATGGTTTAATTTTAATTCAGGGGTCTTTAGCAGTGGGAGGAAAATGGAGTACCCAGAGAAAACTCACGAGGTTGGACAGGTGACCCTACTCCTTGTCGCGTACAACCAGGGAATCCAAACCACGCCAGTTGACTCAATGACAGACGTTATGATACAGCGCGCACATGCTAACCATTCAACCATCCACCACCCCCCACCCCCTATATATATATACATACACACCTACACATAAATTAAATTAAATAAACACATAATACAAATTGTTATTTGCAGAATGTTCTTTGAAACAGATACATTTTTAAAGTCTTCTTAAAAATTTCCAAATCTTAATCTCCCATAATTCTCCTTTAATATATAAACTATATATTATTAAATACGATCAAATATGATTTAAAAGACATTTATATAAAAGCTACTATGATCAATACATCTCCTAGAATACATCGAATTGTGATCGATGTTTTTCTTGTCGTCTTATTCCATAATTTTTACAGTCAATATAAAAATCATAGATGACTGATGTGTTTATTAGGTACAGTTACACACCTGAAGGAAGTCCTTATTTTTTATTTTTAGCCGGTGACGTGAAAAAAACTCTCCTTAATTTTCAAGCGGCACAAATTGGTCTCCTAAAAACGCTCTGCCAGTTCGGACAAGTATGCTTGAGTTGGTGCCTTATTATTTTACTATAACATTTTGTCCATATAAAAGTTGTTTGATATGAAATGCGTTTTAACATCCTACTTCTCTGCACTGACTGGGCTAATGAAGACGAGCATACACTCTGACGGAAATTTTGGACGGACAGCGGCGCTACAGGCTACTCTTGTATCGAATACATGGGACTTTGGTTTTTCGTCCCATCCGAACGACTAGACGACTGTTCTTGTCCCCATGGTGGATGGCTCGAATGGTTAGCATGTGCGCGCTGTATCATAAAGCCTGTCATTGAGTCAACTGGCTGGGTTTCGAATCCCCGGTTGTACGTGACAAGGAGTAGGGTCGCCTGTCCAACCTCATGGGTTTTCTCCGGGTCCTCTGGTTTCCTCCCACTGCTAAAGACCCCTACGCACAAGCGAATTATTGACTTAAAATTTAACCATATGTTAGTCCCGAAATGGCCTAGCTTGTGTCGAGTGGACGTTAAACCCCATTTCCTCTCTCTTTCCTCTGTCCTTGTCAGGCCCTCTGTCCTGCACCACTGACAAGGGAAAACCACGTTGGATAATCCTGATGAACTTTCTCTGCCAATGCAGGGATCACGGGACCTCCAGACTAGTTAGCCAGCGTCTTACCCACTTAGCGCATGTTACATAGGTAGCGGCATATAGATTAAAGTAAACAGTATTTAATCTACAGATACATTGCTGCTACCTGCTGGGAATTACGTCCTGTTCATCTTAGTAGAACAAAATAATGTCCTACTTAAATTCACCTAAATAAAAAAAATAAATAGTACAGTTTACCTGCTGAGAAATGGTAACAATAACAAAAACATGCTTCTGATAATACCTGGCCAAAAGTTTACAAAGCATTCTCTGACTTAAGTTAAGAATTTACTCAAAATTGTTTGCCTTTCTCAGACTTAAGAATTTACTCAAAACTGTTTGGCTTATTTTAACTATAATATAGCCCTTTATAAAACTTTTGTTGTTTTAATGTATCAAATACATCAATAAGAAACTATGTGCAAAGTTTTGTGTTTCTGGATCAAAGACATTTCTCATTAACAGTGATTAAAAGTTGAGTAAATTCTTAAATTAAGTCTGAGACTGCTTTGTGAACTCCGAGTCTAGCGTCGCAGGATCAGTTATTCTGGGAATGTTCAGTTAAAGCCAGAATTTGTTAAGCCTCTTATCATAATACTACGAAGGCCTCTTCATGAAAGTAGAACGGACGACTTTTCTATTTCAGGGAATATCCAGTAAAATCGTAAACTTACATTATCATTTTGATTTGTTGGTGTACATTTAAAAGAACCAATGACAGATCATAGTGCGGCTGTTCAGGCAACATGTCTGGCTTATGCCCATCTTCATTAGCCCGGTTGGTGCAAACCAACAGGATGTTAAACCCCATTTCATGGCATGAAATAATGACTTGAGAAAACCCACGAGGTTGGACACATGATCCTACACCTTGTCACTACAACTGGGTATTCAAAACCACTCCAGTTGATTCAATGACAGACGTTATGATAACCATTCGGCCATACAACCTCGTGGGTTTTCTCTGGGTCCTCCGGTTTCCTTCCACTGCTAAAGACCCCTACGCGCAAGCAAATTATTGAAATAAAATGGCATTAAACCCCATCTCTCTCCCTGTGTATAATCGAAAGAAAGCTACAAGTCTAAAATCAATGGTTAATAGTCACCAATACTTAAAAATCTACAGTAAAGCCATGTTGATCAATTTACTCGACTCCTTGAGACCGATCTATTTATATAACGCGACACCTCGTATACCATCATTCCATCACTATCATTATATCGTTATAAATCACCTAATGATCCGCATTTCACATGCTGTTTTTTTTAACCACCATCATTAAAGCTGTCTTTCAGCCAGTCAAGTGGAATTCCATCAGTTCATTCAGTTCAACTTGATTACCAATAATGAAATAAAAAAATGAAGCGTAGTTGAATGTTCCTACACTGACTGACTGAGATTAAGTCATGTAGTGTGCTATGAGAGAAATTTTGTCGTTAGTCCCAAGAGGTGTTCACTATTAAAAATACTATAAATATTGGTATCAAAAACCATAATACGAACCCTAACTCTGACCCTGATAATATATATTGGTGGACTAATGAACCCGGTTGTATGTGACAAGGTGTAGGGTCGCCTGTCCAACCTCGTGGGTTTTCACCAGGACCTCCGGTTTCCTCCCACTGCTAGAGACCTCTATGCGCAAGCGAATTATTGAAATAAATTTAACTATATGTTAGTCCCGAAAAGACCTGGTTTGTGTCAAGTGGAGGTTAAATCCCATCTCTCTCTCTCTACTCTCTCATCTGTCTGTTCAGGGCTGTCTTGAGGTTGAAACATGGTATATGGGGTAGCTCGGACCATGGAGTAACATAGGCCTGGTGGTGATGGACTACCACTTCCGGTTCCAGTTCCGGGGTATGCCCATGCTACACTAGTTCAACCGCTAGTTTACTATACATGTCAAAGCCTAAGTAAATGCCAAATGTCAAGGGTTTCTTTACGTACACGCTAACTTGTTCATAGGAACTCGGTTTTCCTTCACATTTAAACAACCACATGCTGTCCTTGTCCGACCCTCCTTCCTGCACCAGGGAACTTTCTACTCCAACACAAGGATCGAACCCTCAACCCCTGGTTTATGAGTCAGCACCTTAACTCACTGAGCCACCGTTGCTTTCGATTCCCAGTTGGATCCCCTGTCAGTTTGTTTCCTCCCACTGCTAAAGAGCTCTAGGCCATTTCACAATCAAATTATTGAAATATAATTGAACCATAAGTTAGTTCCAAAATAAAGTTTTTTGTCTAGTGGAAATTAAACCCAGTTCTCTCTCTAATTACGAGGAAACATTCAACAACAAACCATACATTTCAGGGAAGCTCTTCTATTTTCAGGCAAACGGCTGGGTTTTCTACCATATGCTAGTCCCGAAATGACCTAGTCTGTGGTTAACCCTTGTTGGGCTGAATCTCTCTCATGGATGATAACCCCACCTCTCTCTAATGAATGTTAACCCCACCCCTCCCCTCTCTCATGGATATTAACCTCACCCCTCTCATGAATGTTAACCCCATCTCTCTCTCTTATGAATGTTAACCCCAACTCTCTCTAATGGATGCTAACCCCACCTCTCTCTCATGGATGTTAACCCCACCCTATCTCTTATGGGTGTTAACCCCACCCGCTCTCTCATGAATGTTAACCCCACCTCTCTCTCATGGATATTAACCCCACCTCTCTCTCATGAATGTTAACCCCACCTCTCATGAATGTTAACCCCACCTCTCATGAATGTTAACCCCACCTCTCTCTCATGAATGTTAACCCCACCTCTCTCTCATGAATGTTAACCCCACCTCTCTCTCATGAATGTTAACCCCACCTCTCTCTCATGAATGTTAACCCCACCTCTCATGAATGTTAACCCCACCTCTCATGAATGTTAACCCCACCTCTCTCTCATGAATGTTAACCCCACCTCTCTCTCATGAATGTTAACCCCACCTCTCTCTCATGAATGTTAACCCCACCTCTCTCTCATGAATGTTAACCCCACCTCTCTCTCATGAATGTTAACCCCACCTCTCTCTCATGAATGTTAACCCCACCTCTCTCTCATGAATGTTAACCCCACCTCTCTCTCATGAATGTTAACCCCACCTCTCTCTCATGAATGTTAACCCCACCTCTCTCTCTTATGGATGTTAACCCCAAATTCTCTTTCATGGATGTTAACCCCACCTCTCATGAATGTTAACCCCACCTCTCATGAATGTTAACCCCACCTCTCTCTCATGGATGTTAACCCCACCTCTCATGAATGTTAACCCCACCTCTCATGAATGTTAACCCCACCTCTCTCTCATGGATGTTAACCCCACCTCTCATGAATGTTAACCCCACCTCTCATGAATGTTAACCCCACCTCTCTCTCATGAATGTTAACCCCACCTCTCTCTCATGAATGTTAACCCCACCTCTCTCTCATGAATGTTAACCCCACCTCTCTCTCTTATGGATGTTAACCCCAAATTCTCTTTCATGGATGTTAACCCCACCTCTCATGAATGTTAACCCCACCTCTCAGGGTTTATCTGAAAGATATCATTTTCCTCGTCACACTGAACATCATTTATCTATATTAGCTACTTATTATCTAATTCTGGCTAAACCTTTTCATGTAGTTTGTCATAATCAAAATCGGATCTATCAATAGGACGGAAATAGCTAGGTAGCGACAGGATTTCCATCATAGATTCTGTTCAACCTTATTCAAGCTACGGCCATATATATATTTTACAATAGATTCATCCGGAGTAATTTAAAAGTATTGATGTATCTTTATTTGAAATCATTACACAAGTACTGGAAGACTTCCTGAAAGAAAAGAAAGTTGGTTCATTGATTATTGTGGAGATTTATTTCTGAGTGCCATCAGGGGATCTGACATAACAGGATATTGAAAAAGATTTTCGTGACTTGTTTTTGTCTCACAAAGAAAGGCATGGGGGGTTTAGCGTCTTGTGACTTTAGTCGTAACAATACTTCATTTTATATTGATACAAACATATACCATTTTCATTTTGTTTATATTGTCACTAACATATACCATTTTCAATTTGTTTATATTCACCATTTTCAATTTGTTTATATTGACACTAACAGATAACATTTTCATTTTGTTTATGCTGACACTAACGTTTTCATTTTGTTTATATCGACACTAATACCATTTTCATTTTATTTATATCGACACTAACATACATCATTTTCATGTTGTTTATATTGACACTAACAGATAACATTTTCATTTTGTTTATACTGACACTAACATTTTCATTTTGTTTATATCGACACTAATATCATTTTCATTTTGTTTTTATTGACACTAACAGATAACATTTTCATTTTGTTTATACTGACACTAACATTTTCATTTTGTTTATACTGACACTAACATTTTCATTTTGTTTATATCGACACTAATATCATTTTCATTTTGTTTATATTGACACTAACAGATAACATTTTCATTTTGTTTATACTGACACTAACATGTTCATTTTGTTTATATCGACACTAATAACATTTTCATTTTGTTTATACTGACACTAACATATACCATTTTCATTTTGTTTATATTGAGACAAACATTTTCATTTTGTTTATATTGCCACTAATATATACCATTTTCATTTTGTTTATATTGACACTATAACATACCATTTTCATTTTGTTTTTATTGACACAAACATTTTCATTTTTTTTTATATTGGCACTAATATATACCATTTTTCGTTTTATTTTTAATAATATTAAATAGGCATTATGTAAGATTTAGATAAATAGCTGACAGTTCTCGCTATATTATTGAAAAATACATAAGGAAAAGGGAATATGTTGAAAATTTCAGTCAAATTATTCATTCTGAGCCAAGTAATTGCTGTTTGAAAAACATTATAGTCTCAATTGTCATTGCTACCATTGCTAGGATAATAAACAAAGTCTTGATTATCCATTTTTAAATTAAATCATTAACTGGCATCGAGAGTTGGTTATATATGGTCTTGGGAAGTTAATAAATGTCTAATCAATCAATTATATAATGGGGAAAATGTTAGTAACCTGTGTGCGTGAGACTTACGCGTCACTTGCGTGTTTTCGGCAGAAGATCGCACACTGGCTGGCTGCAGAGACTTTTGGTCCCGCACATACAAATTTTTTACCCGGTTTCTTGCGGCTGGTCTGAAAGATACCAAACTCAAAAATTCTTTCTAGAACTATGTTAGAGTTATGTTTATGAAACACTACAATTCTTTAAATCCCTGACAGCTTCTCCAGTGGGAAAAGATGGGGTAACGGGAACCTCACTTTATCCCTGTGTTGCAGTCTATTCTGCTGCGACTGGGTCAAACCTGGAAATAAGGCACCTGTCACAGACGTTGTCAGGCACAGATTCAGGCTTTGTCAGACACAAAACCTCTGGTGCCTGTCATTTTGTCCGGCACTGATATATGTCCCTCATTAAGTTGAAAATATCAGATACTATTTCATTAGTGCCAGACATTTTGTCAGGTACATCTAAAACCGTTATTTCCAGGCCTCGACCACTGGTAGGATAGTGCAAGGTAAATGTAATGTAGTATACAAATTCTGTATGAAAGGGACGTATAACATCAAATTGAGTTACTGTGACCAGAATAAAGAAATATAAGTTTTCGAATGACCTCTTGGAGCCGAAACGGCGGACGTTTGCATTCTATTACCAAGTACTATGTATACAGCTAGCCCCCCAATCCATTCACTACAGCAAGAAATAGGATTTGTGTTTTAATCAGATTGTGCTTCCCCCTCCCCCTTCTCCTCCCATTCAACTAATTTCTGTATTACAGTCTTGTCTATCTAATTTGTAGAATTCATAATTGGACATGAATTCAATAAACTACTTGCTATTATAAATTATTGTGTCTGATGGCAGAAATAACACCACGCGAAACCAAGAAATGCCATTTAAAAAGCCCGTTTCACAGCATGTAATTATCCTCGGCTAATAACAAGATTTGAGACAGGTTGGTGGGTGGATAAAGAGCAGTGTTCAACTAACAACCTAACTAGCCTCTGTCCATTATCTCACTATGTGCATATGAATTGGAAATTAATCCAGACTCTCTGGTACATTATCTTGGGCCAGTAAGCCAGCTGGCGGGGATGAGCGCGAGAGAGAGAGAGAAATGGAGTTTAACGTTCACTTGACACAAACTATGTCATTTTGGGACTAACATATGGTTCAATTTTATTTCAATAATTCGCTTGCACGTTGGGGTCTTTAGCAGTGGGAGGAAACCGGAGGACAGACAGAGAGAGAAATGGGGTTTAACGTCCACTTGACACAAACTATGTCATTTTGGGACAAATATGTGGTTCAATTTTATTTCATAATTCGTTTGCGCATTGGGGTCTTTAGCAGTGGGAGGAAACCGGAGGACTTGGAGAAAACCCATGAGGTTGGACAGGTGACCCTACTTCTTGTCACGTACAACCGGGGAATCGAAACCATGCCAGTTGACTCATTGACAGACCTT